CGTGTGTCTGTTTACGGGTCAGAAGTCAGAGAGTATCCTCCTCCTGACCTCATTACCATATCTCTCCACAAGCCTCTCAGCCATAAAGAGGTCAAAGCCACTGCCATTTATTACCCACAGTCCATCAGTCACTTTCTCTATTCAGGGTTTGTCAAACACACACCATTAAGTGTGTCTTTTTTCTCTAGTCAACAGTGTGTACAACACCGCAAGCACAACTCTCTTTCTCTGACTCATTAGTCCTCCTTTTCTGGCTCACTTCAAAGTGTCTCGCGATTTCTGTCCTAGTTTGTTTCGTCTCTTAAGGAAAGAGATACTTTAGAGGAAATGTATTGCATGAGGCAGAGTTTTGTGTATGTGCGTGTATTTTCAGGCATAATCTCCACCTCTAACGTACTTAAAGGATTACTTCACACAAAAATGAAATTTACTCACACTCATGTCATTCCAAATCCACAACTTACTTTCCTCAATGTAAAAAAATGTTTTTTCCAAAGAAATAAAGCGAAAGGGAAAAAACAGCATAATAGTAGTACACACGATAAATAAGATGATAAAATGCTTGGCCGTTCTTCAAAATTCCTCCTTTTGTGTTCAATGGAAGAAAGTGAGTCATACGGGTTTAGAACAAGAGTTTCATTCTTTGGTGAATTATTCCTTCAAGTCAAAGATAAAAATTCAAGCTGCTTGTTAACAAAAGAAAGAATTTTTAATCAAGAAAACCTCATTATTAGGCTTTGCCTGGATACAGATTAAATTCCTCCCAGGTTAACCATGAATCCCTGCACAGCCCTATCATGTGAGAGAAGTGGTAATGAGAGATGGTTCATGGAGGAGAACGTCTCAGAATTACAATAAACTTGATGACTGTCCAATTAATTCCAAACATAGGGATTTCCAAGTCAATGTCTGTAAGAAAAAGCCAGATTAACTCACCACCAGGGAGACTTTAAACCAGCTGCTGACAGTTTCATGTGCTTTTAAACAAACTCCTCGTCTATTACTGCTAGAACAGAGAAATGGAGGAGGAGGAACCAAACCAGATGTTCCTCAAGAGCTACAAAGGGTCAAGTTCAAAATGGTTTCCATGTGTGTGTCTACCTGTGTTCTCATGCTCCTCTCCTTCCCTTATCCAGCACAAACAGGTGTGTACAGCTCTCACCAATGACATCGCACCAATGAAATCATCTCCAGTGTGTGGAATTGAGAAATGAGGAGCCATTCAACAAAAAGTCCTTAGCTAAACTTGTACATGAACACTTTTTTGCCATGATGCTAGGGCATTGCTAGGTTTTCTGGGTAGTTTGCTTATTGGACTCACTCTCAAGTCTATATGATATTCTGGTTAGGGATCTGGTTCTGGACAGAAATGTAAAAGGAAAGAAAGTAGCGACAGATCTTTCCTTCCGTATTGTGACTATCTCAAAAGGTGTTCATTCGATTTTGAGATGTGGGAGTTGCACTCAAAAGTAAATGCACTCTTGCAGTTTATTGTGAATGGTCAGGGTTTAAGGTAAATGATTGAAAGTCTAGCATACATCACCAAAGAGAAGAATGTTGTTTCACCAGAAGATTGAGCTTTCATTTTTATTAAAAATTACAAGGTAAAAAAAAAATAATAATAAAACTTTATTTAAAAAAAAAAAAAAAAAATAGTATACATAGATAAATCATTCACAGTAAGATTGTCATGAATTAACAAAATACTTTAAAACTGCTAAAACTGATATAAACAATTGACTATTTTCTCTAATCCAAGCAAAAATAACACACTAAAAAGTCAATAATTTTAAATGCCACAAATGAATTCAGGCATCACATTATAAATGCACAGCATAAAATATATATATTAATTTGGAGATTTTTTAAAGATTACATTTAACAGTGTTAAATTAAATTACTATGTTTTTAAAGGTTAACTTTAAGCTAGATTATTACATGGACATTACTTAAATATAAAAATTGGCATTAACCGATTATATTAATATTGATTTATTAAAAAAGCTATAACATTGTCCAATAACCAATATATCACCGACGTATCCCTAATTTTGGTCTCCAGATAAAACTCATGTGCTTCCTTCAGTGAAAATCTATGAAATTTTTCATCCGTTTTATAGTCCGCTGTCACGGTGCACACACACGAGGAACGAGGAGACGCTGGAGAATACTTTACCAAGATTTTATTTACAGGAACCAAGGGAGCCAGGCAAAATTCATCTGATCACTTGACAGTAATACCACAAATCTCCTCAACAAGCCACAGCGAGGAATGAATTACGAGTTTATTACTTTCTTCAAATCTCTAACCTTATGTATGAGCAAGAGTAATAGAGAAGTTTGTCTTCAAGCACCACTAATAAATAACAGCATCAATCCACCAGCCATCCAAGTAAATGACTAATATTCCCAGTTAGCCTAAGAGAGTTCTGTGACATCTTTCCACTGAGAACAGCAGTAACTGCAGACCCGTTGGGGAAACTCTGTGACATCAAGATAATAAGATCTCATAGCAAGACAGAGAGCAGAACTACATCAAAGCGCAGGAATGTTTTCCCTGAGGTGCCTAAAATGAAAGGAAGATGGACCCCGTCAAGCTCAGCAAGGGCCGAAGTTCTGACAGTAGCCGAGTGTGTGTGACGTGCAAACATGCATGTGGGCTGAGGTGTATTACACGTCTGTCTTTAGGGGGCAGCAGGTGTCAGCGTTTTTTTAATGCCCCTGTCAGAGAGGATTTCGGGAAGAATGGACAGCATTACACAAGCACTGCCACGGGTACCAGAAATAAAAGAGGTGGCTACGGTGTCAACGGCAGTTAAATTTGAATAACATGCAATCAGTCCCCAGCAGCTGTTTACCAGTGTAGGCGTACAACGCCTGTTTACATTGCCGTGGGATCAGTTTAGTTGTTGAGACTGAGATTGCGATGGGTGAGGTTGACTGAAACAATGTAAAAAGCAGCTGCAAGACTTTCCACATGGAAATGAGGACACCAGCAACTCACTGCAGAATGATGATGGCAGAGTTCGAAGCCAATATAGCATTTCACTGACAATTGTGACAAACAACTTCTACGAACACTTAAGCTAGGATAGAGTATCCAATGAACCAAAGCGAGCTGCAATAAAGATTAAGCGACAATTACAGTATAATAGCTTCTTGGAGAGATGAAACATCTCTCTCTTTGACAGGAACATGGGTAGATCTAACTAATGACTAACCACTGAAAGCTCCTGCCAACTCTATCTGGAGTGTAAACAGATCAATTTAGTGCTGAGGGGCATGCCGTGGGGGTCTGTGGAGTCCTCGCTACACACTTTCACATACTAAACTATTGTTCAAAAGCATGTAAACACAGTATCCTCTGTGTCAACACAGTCAGATATTAATGGAAACTTCATCATGAAGGTCATCTTTATCAGTTCAAGGATGCAAAGTCTGTACGTTTTGGAGGGTTTTTTTATGGAATACTAATTATCTGAAACTATGGTAGTGGCCGATCTTTTCTTCTGTATTATGATGTACATTTGAGTGAAACAGACTATCAAAAAAAAAATGTAGACCAGGACTTGTTTTAATCCATCGATTGATGATTGGATGGAGGCAGATATGAATGCGAGCCTGCAGTCGATTGTAAGAAAGTTTAAGTGGAATAAATGATTGGAGAAGTCCAGAATACGTCAGAGAGATGTCTGTCGTTTCAATGGAAGATTGGGTTTTGACATTTTGATTAAAATTATGAGGTAAATAAAAAAATGAAGCATTCATAATCAGTGTTGGGGAAAGTTACTTTTAAAAGTAATGCATTACAATATTTCGTTACTCCATAAAAAAGTAACTAATTACGTTACTTAGTTACTTTTTATGGAAAGTAATGCGTTACGTTACTTTTGCGTAACTTTTTAAATCTGGACAGGGCTTGCTTGTTTGTTTTAAAAATAAAAAAGTTATATTTTTGGCAAATATAAAAGCCTTTTCACACCAAAAGTGAAATGAATAAGCCTCAGGCTGAAGGGAAAGTAATTTACGTCCGTACAGTAGAATGCAGAAGAAGAAATTTCAACACACTTCAGCAGTAAAAAAAGAACTCGCATTACTTGTAATGCGTTACCCCCAACACTGTTCATAATAAGATCTATAACATGTGTATAGAAAATAAATTGGGCGAATTTTCATTTCATGCCGACTTAAGTATGGTGCATATATTTTGATGTCACAAACATGACATGTTGACTCTGTCACTCAAATTGTAAAGATATGGTTTTAGATAATTTAACGAACAATCCAGAAAAACAAATGGCTTCTGCATTTAATTCATGTTTGATGTGGAAAATATGGTTATATTGTCAATACTGTCATCTGATTTTCTTGTCTAATGGTTTGTGTCAAGTCAACAAATGGAGTTGAAAATCATTTTTTATTTTAAATAATAGAGTTTTTATAATAATAATAATAATTATGTACAATTTAACATTTGAATATTTAATGGTATAATATTGTTTTACTACACTTTTGATATTACATGTCAAAATCTGACAGTGTTGACGGCAAGAAAAAAAACATTTTGTGAGAAAAAAAAAAACCTGTTTAACAGATTAAACAAAATCAATTCCTTGGCATATGAAGTTGTTTTAAGCCCTGTATTCTGTGTTGTCCCAGTGAAAAATCTAACAGTATGAGAAAAGTTCATCTGGGTTGACTGAAGTAGTGCAAAAGCAAAAGCAAAAGCATTAAACTGCCCATAAAAGTATTTTACGACTCTGGGTTATTTTATGGAGGGGCCAACTTCTTAAACACATGTTAAACCTTAACTCAGATCAAGACAAAAGAGTTCAAGCACACACAATGTTTAAACAATGTACTCACTGTGTATCCAGTGCAACAGCATCATAACAACAACAAAGCAAAAGGCAGCGTATTATAAACTAAACAGCTCACATACATGTTGAGCAGTCATAATTATCGGTGTGAAATGCACATTTATCAGAAAACAAACTCACCAACTGAAACGTGCACAGAAATATAAGGGTGCACCGTCCGCTGCAGCAGCCCATTGTGTTAAAGCTTGATAATGAGATCCTTATTATATGAGTCTATCGACAGAAAGTCCTATACAAACACAGAGAAGCGCGTCAGTCTCTGTCCGACACAGAGCGGCTCCGTTCCCATTGTTTCCAACGGCGCTTCAGTGAAACACTCGCGGCAGTGTGAAGCTGATCTCGGGCTGCGAGCGTCGCGGGAGGAGCGTGTGAGACTCGGGAGTGAGAGACTGAGTGAAGTGCGAAAAAAGAGGGAGAAGAAGAAAAAGAAGAACAAGGAGGTAGACGGGGCAAGAGGGAGGGGCGGGGGTAGCAGGCAGAGGGGTGTATGTAAATCACAATGGCTTGTTCTCCCATATACACGGACACAGGCTGCGTGAATAAACCATGGTGCGTGTGCTGTCCATTCGAACCCAAGAAAAAGCGGAAAAATTACCCAAGAGACACAGCATTCCTGAAAATAGAAACTTAAACCAAGCAAGGGCTGGTTGTCTGGTTTAATCTGGTTTCACAGACTGGCCAGTCAGCTGCTTGGCCAACTGATATCATTGCCTGACCAACTGGAAAGTGCCCAAACCCCTCTAAATCCAGCATACATAGCCAAACCCACCTTAGACTAGCAAACACGCATAGAAAACATATCCAGAGACCACATCCCTGTCGAAACAAACAAAAACATAAACTATGCTGGTCTTAACTGGTTTAAGATAGTCTCCCAGGCTAAGAAGCTGGAAGCGCCCAAGACCCCTCTAAAACCAGCCTTCATAACCAGGCCTGGAGACCACCTTAGACCAGCAAACAAGCATAGAAACCATATCTACAGACCACTGCTAAAAACAAACAAAGACATAAACCAGCCTACGATGATGTGCTGGTCTTAGCTGGTTTACCTTAGCTGAAAGTGCCTAAACTCCTCTCAATCCAGCCTACATAACCAGGCTGAGAGACCACCTAAGACCAGGAAACAAGCTTAGAAACCACATCAGAGCCCACATCCATGCTATTAAAAAAAAACAACTGTAAACCAGCCTAAGACGGTGTGCTGGTCTTAGATGGTTTAAGATGGTCTCCCAGGCTATTCAGCTAAAAAAAAATGTCGAGTAAAACCGACTGGTCCCCCTTAAGACCAGCGAAGACTATTAAACCAGTTTAGACAGTCAACACAATGGTTGTCAGTTTTACAGTATAACAAATAAAACAACATTAGGCATATTAGCAGGGGTTTACAGAATATGTGATCATATTTTATTATTATTTATTTGTTTATTAATTTCTTTGACAGTGATGCAGTAACAATGACTGCAGTAACTACAGGATAACATATAACTTTGATTAATTAAAAAAAAAATATGTTTTTATCGTGTGTGAAGTGATAAATAGCTTTGGCTGAGATATTTTACCGTCATGAACGCTGGAATGCCGTTTGTATCTACAGTTAGATGTGATTTAAAGCGTGTGCTCTGTGATTTTTAGTTTGAAGGAACTAATGTTCGCCTCACTGAAGTCTATTATCAAATTCAAGGCGCCATCTGCTGGTCGCGTATCAAAACTACACCCAACCTAATTTTTTGAGATGTAAACTGGTGTAAATTGGTGTTATTTGTCACTTCATTTTTCACACTAAAATAACAAACACAGTTATCTTTCAACACACTTGTTAGCATAATATTTTCCTCACTAATTTTAATCTACTGTATGAAAATGAGTTAGTAGACAAATAAATGAGGAAATGCAGTCAGTGCAGAGCATAATGCAGGATTTATTCTTTGCTGATTTGACTGGTCTAATTTTCTGTTGCAGTTATGCACATACAATGGAGGACTATGGGGCAATGTGCATAATGACAAATATAACATTTTTATCAATTCAACTATAAATGTTCAGTCTGTTCAGAGAGACACTGTATTGACTGTATTGAAATGTTCAACTGCCTAAAGCTATGTTGCTCTTTTCCCCTTCATATTCAGATCCATAATTACTGACATGATAAACAAGGACCTCCATTGCCAAACATATGTAAATAACACACATATATTAATGATGAAGTTGATGTTGATAATATCACTTGTTCTTTGCTAACCCTTGTCTTCTATCCATGACAGCTGTGGCTCTGTCTGTGCTGATCCGTTATAGAAAAGCAGTTAAAAGCGGTTCCTCCCCCGTGCTGCTCGGCTCCCTCCTCTCTGAACAGGAAGAAGAGTGATGAATCTTTTACAGGTTGAGCCTGTATTGCCATGGAACACTTCACTTCTCATTACATCACTGTAGCCTCTGCTTCCTCTCTTAAAAGCTTCCCTCTTCTCTGTCTCACACACACACACACACACACACACACACACACAGGTTTGTTTTTGTGAAGAGTGGGGACATCCCATAGGCGTAATGGTTTTTATACTGTACAGACCGTATTGTCCTCATTTGTCACAAAAACGAGCACACACACACACACACTGCTATAAATAGTTTTTGGTGATATTTTTAGATGAGAGAACTGCAGATACTTTTCTTTGAAGAACATTATTCTTCTGTAAATATTTAATTTGTAAAAGATTTTTTAATAATTTTGGCTTGCAAAATTTTATGAGACATTTGTGCACTTTGTTTGTTTATCATTTTTTTTTATTTCAGTTGTATTAGTTTATTTTGTTTTGTATTGCTTTTGTTTTTATTGAAAACATAATTCTCTTGTAAATATTAAATTTTAATGTACAAAGATTATTTAAGAATATTAACAATGACTTGCAAAATTTGATAAGACATCTGTGCACTATTATTTATTTGTTTGCTTGTTTGTTTTAGTATGTTTTCATTGAACAAAATTCTTTGGTAAATATATTATTTAATAAAATTAACAATGTTTTGCCAAATTTGATGAGATATTTATACACTTTATTTGTTTATTTTATTTATTTGTCTGTTTCTTTGTTATCATATTGTATTTATTTCAGTTTTATTAATTCATTTTATTAATTTTTGTTTTGTTTTAGTTTGTTTTCTTTAAAAAATATTGCTTTGTAAATATTTCATTTTAATGTGCAAAGATTATTAATTTTAACAATGGCTTGCAAAATTTGGTGAGACATTTGTTCTTTATTCATTTATGTATTAATTAGTTTGCTATCATTTCTGTTATCATTGTTTATTTCTAAGTTTATTTGTTTATTTTTGTTTTGTTTTCTTTGAAGAACATTACTCTTTTAAATATTTAATTTTAACGTACAAATATTGTAATATTAATAATGACTTGCAAATTTTGATGAGACGTTTGTGCTTTATTTATTTGTTTGTTTGTTCATTCATTTTTATTTATTTACATTTTTAGTAATTTTTGGTTTGTTGTAGTATGTTTTTCTATTCTTTTGTGAAGTGATTTGTTAGCTTTACTTTCAAACACCTCAGCGTTGTCTCTGCACAGCTTCTTGCTTGCTTGCTCTTCTGGTCCCCATGATGTAGGTAAAACATGACCCACACAAACACCAGCAATGGAAAGAAGGTCACACTGGGCTTTATCAGTAGGAGTGTCTGATGGGATCCTAGGGGTCTACTTCTCATCACCTCCCTCCAGTTAAAGTCTGTTGATGTGTGTTTGTCTAAAAGGAGGGTCAGGCCTTTGTATTGTACACTTTTCAAACCGCAAGACCTAATGCAGACTGACAGGCCAGTTAGCAGACGAGACCTGTGCTATGAGCCAGATGTAAATAAGGACCACAATCAGACTCCAACAAAGACGGAGGAGTATAAAACCTGTCTACACACACACACACACACACACACACACACACACACACAAGAGCACTCAGAGAAAGTGAGTTCCTCATTGATTGTTTTGGTGCAGACCCACAGTCATAAAAGACCTGTGAAACAGTAAGTGTTGACTATATCTTGGCCAACTCTAAACACAGCCATGTCTATTTTAGTGGATGTTGCCCAAATATGAATCACCACTATCTGTGCATTAAAAAAATATATTATAAATAATTATTTTAAATAAGCAAGAGAATCTGAAATAATCCAGAGGAAATAAAATAAAAATGATAAAAAATGATTAAAGCCATTTAGGTAACAATTTAGGTATCAATACATCACGACAACAAAAACAATTTGTAGTTACAAGCTGCTTCAGAAAATAAGCACATTGCTCATTAGTCTTACCCACTTACTTGTACTGATTAATGCTGTAATTACATCAAAACATGAACAGTTATGTAAAGTGTGGCAGCTATTATTTGATTAAAACTATTGATTTTTACAGTGCACATTACAAGAAAGGGTTATATAGTCCAGTGGAGGCAGTACAATACAATACAACTTTATTAACCCCAGAGGTGCAATTTAGTTACAGAACACTGAAGCAGACACTGAGACACGCAAGTGAAGAGCTAAAAGCCATATGGTAAGAGTAAGAGAGATCATTATTAATAAATAAAATAATGTCCCATAAAATATACAGTGTTATGTACAATGAGATATAATATTTAATATTAGAGACATAATATTTAATTCAATGTTAAATATGCAGTAATGTAAAAGAGGAACGACAACCAGAACCAGAATAAGGTAAAATATAGGCAATAAGTGTTATGTTCAAAAGTTCTGGTCCTCAAATTCTGTCTGAATAGTCAGCCTGTGTTAGTGGTGGGATCAATGTTTTTAAGCCCCTCTTTCTGCAGGTTACATCGCCAGTAGGTGGCGACTGTAAATGAGTAATTCAATAATTTGCTCAACCCGTTTTATTTAAAGGGGTCATATGATGCAATTTCAAATTTTCCTTTCTCTTTGGAGTGTTACAAGCTGTTCGTGCATAGATAAGATCCCTAAAGTTGCAAAGACTAAAGTCTCAAATCCAAAGAGATATTCTTTATAAAAGTTAAGACTTGTCCACACTCTCCTAAAACGCCTCATTTAAACATGCCCCCACATGTCTACGTCACTGTGTGGGAAGATTTGCATAACACCACCCAAATGTTCATGCAAAGAAAGAAGGCATAACTTTTATTCTCGCTGTAGTATTGTTGTTGCCGCCGCCATGTTGTGGAGACGCTGTGTGTTTCGTTGTGAAAGCGAAATTACTTTGTTTGGCCTTCCAAAAGACGACGATATCCGCTTCATCTGATCTCAGCTGATCCGTGCTGGTCGCTGAGGAAATACATCAAATTTCACGCTGTGGATCGCCGGATTGGCTTTCACCGTGGACAAAGTGGAGTCCAGCCTGGGGTCGTCACATGTGGGTGCCGCAGGTCCTCCGGACGCTCCTTCGTCGAATCCGCCG